CTCTCTCTCTCTCTCTCTCTCTCTCTCTCTCTCTCTCTCTCTCTCTCTCTCTCTCTCTCTCTCTCTCTCAGTAGAAAGCCACCCGGGAACCACCGCCGGCCGTACCTCGTAGAGCAGGCTGGCGGCCGAGGCCGAGCTCAGTTCTTCACCGGCACCTACCTCCTTCGCTCGTTACCACCGCAATGTATCCCTCCGCGTACCGTCGCTCGAGACTCTCTCTCTCTCSCTCCGTCTCTTTCGCCCCGGACCCCGTCTAATCGCTCTCAGTTTCTATACTTCCTCCTCTCTATCTCCAGCTCGCAACCCATAGTGGCGGGGCCGACCGCCTTCGACGTCTCCGCGCGGAGCCAATCGTCTGTTTCCCTTCCCCTCTTGTAACCAGCAGCGACCAGGTCGCCCTTTTCCCTGTGCCTTCTTCGTCGAGCTAATACCCTCTCTCTCCCTTCCCTTCTCCGAAAGATCTTGGTCAGCCCGTTGTGACCTGGCCGTACCCTCTCGCTAACGCCCTCTCCCGCCTTCTCCCTTCAAAAGAACGCGCGCTCCCCGCGGTGGCCAGGCCGTCCTCTCTTAGTCCCGCCCACTTGCGAAGTCTCCCCCCCTCTCTCTCTCTCCCCCTTCGAGCGTGCGCAGCTAGTGGTGGTCGGGTCATCCTTTCTCGGTGCCGCCTCGTCGCGCTGACTCCCCCTCTGTCTCTCTCTCCTCCTTGGAGCGTGCGCAGCTAGTGGTGGTCGGGCTGTCCTTTCTCGGTGCCGCCTCCTCGCGCTGACTCACCCTTTGTCTCTCTCTCCTCTTTCGAGCGTGCGCAGCTCGTGGTGGCCAGGCCGCCCTCTCTCGGTGCCGCCTCGTCAAACTAACGCCCTCTCCCTCTGTCTCTCCTCCTTCGAGCGTGCGCAGCTCGTGGTGGCCAGACCGCCATCTCTCGGCGCCCCCTCGTCGAACTAATGCCCTCTCCCTCTCTCTCTCCTCCTTCGAGCGTGCGCAGCTCGTGGTGGTCGGGTCGTACCCTCACAGTGTCGCCTCGTTGAACTAACGCCTTCTCCCGCTTTCTTCCTTCGAACGAATGTGCACTCCCCTCGGTGGCCAGGCTGTCCTCTCTCAGTGTCGCCTCCTCGCGATGACTCCCCCTCTCTCTCTGTCTCCTCCCTCGAGCGTACGTACGCAGCCCGTACGCCGACAATGGCTAGTACTTCGAACGTTTCTACATGCGCGCCTCTCCTTCGTGCGTCCAAAAAACAGTCCTCTTTGTAGGTCCCCTTCTCTTCCTTTTGTACCCACCGTCGGGTCCTCCTCCTTTCTCAAATTGATCCCCGCTTCCGAGTTCCTACACCAATCATCTTCCTCTTTTCCTCGAGCTTTCCGCGGAGGCGCCAAGGTCAAAATTTTTACAAATTTTCCTTTTTTACCGCCATAGGTCCCTTCATCCCTTCCCTCTTCTCTTTACTCCCTCTTAGACGGCTTCTCTCGTGGCCCGCTCATTCGATCCCTCTCTTCCGCGAAAGGATTATCCCGCCTCTTGAGCCAGATGCACCCGCCTCTCAGGTTTTCCCCGTTCCCGCCTTGGTGGACGCCAAAAAAACTCGAAATTTGAGCTCACACCCCGCAAGTCGTCCCCGTTTGACAGTTATCAAGAAGAAGATGTGAGGAGCGCCCCTGCGTCCTTCCGCGCGCTCCCTCAAGAAGCGGTTACAAGTGTCCCCAACGGCTTGCTGCCGGCCTGCCACCTCGTCACATCACCGTCGTTATCGAGCTCTCCGGTGTTCCCTATGCCACCTCATTCCCCCTTTTTGCCAGAGCTCGCGATCAAAAACAACTCTAGTCCATCACCACCATCCTTGCCCCGTGGAGGCCCACAATTCCGATACCCGCAGACACTCTCTATTGCACCATTTGTTAGCCCCGGGCCCATCAGCGCGTGTCAAGCTGGTCACGAGCCTTCAGACAGCCGATCGACCCCGCTAGTCCTGCAGATCGATGGTTCGTATCGCCAAATTACTGTGGCGAGCCCAATCACCTCGAACGGGTTACTCTGCCGAAGCGGCTATAGGCAGGAATTGTGACGACCACTCCAAAGCCGATCCGCCACCACACGGGCTGTCGGTCGTGGGAACTGGTCCCCAAGACCATGTTCCGGCGCCTGCACCCGCAATTGCCTGCACGATGCGGCCCATCACCATGGCTCTATCATGGCCCACATACCTCTCGAGTTTGCCCAAAGTCGTACGCACCCCCTTCCCCCCGATCATTCTCACAAGCCTCCCTCCATCGTGGGGTCCAGACTCAGCGGAGAGATCGGCTGAGATCCCAGCGAGCATACCCGGCCAGCTCTCGTGCTGGCCCTACTTATCCAAATCCCCTCCTTTCTCGGCCAGAGATTCGCTCCTTCCATCGTGGTAGCCTTCTTTTCTTGGTGTGACCGCCTGCTCCTCCTCAAAGCTGCCTTGTGGCTGCACACCCGCAGGAAACGGCTTCTTGGTTCATAGCAGAGAAGCGGCTGGGTCAGATCGGGACCAAGGGCGATCTCGGTCTCCCGCGCCGCTCCTTTCTTAACGGTCCGGATCCTTGTTAATCCTCCGAGTCGTCCTGGAAAAAAACCCTGCTTTTCGGCTCTGCCCTCGTTAGTCCTCACGGCGTTTTATAGGCTCACAGATATTCCACGGAAGACCTGCTTGCGGCCATCTTTCGCACCCGCCAACTGTAGTCCCCCACCTCTCCCTCAACTCCGTCCCCAGTGTGGCCATAGGTCCCTCATGAGCCCCTCGCCGGCCCACGAGGTCAGGTCGCGCAGGGCCGGAGTCGGCTTCTCGTAGACAACCTTCGAGTCTTCCCAGTCGCGCCGTCGTTCCGAGTTTTTCTTGGCCCGCCCAAAAGTCTGACCGTGATCCTTGATTTCTTGCCCTTAAAACCGTCGATTTTTCAGGGATCCGTGTGAGCCCGCTTGCGACCAGAGTTCGGACTGTCTCTCCAGCCAATCGAAGAGTTAGCATGAAGGCCCGAGTGCCCGAGGATATCCAAAAACATCATACCCATATGCATGCATACGTCAAAACCACGCAGAAACATCAAGAGGAGAAAAAAAATATTTTTATTTTCAAAGAGAAAAGCCATCGGCTGGTAGGCAGCCGCGCGACAACGTGTCGGGCTCCGATACCAACCTCACGCCCAACGCGACTTCCTAATTGGAGTAGGATGTGGGGTGGAAGTGCGAAAAGGGGTGTGCCAAGGATTTTTGGGAAAGTGGAGTCCTAGGTCAGAACTGAGATCTCCTGTGGCAGGGTTTTGCGGGGGCACGAGTGCAATTTGGTGGAGAGGGCGGACCGCCTCTGGTTACAAGGCCGACGGTATGTGCGGGTCACTCAAGGCCCAGCGAGCCATTGGTTTCGGGGACGGTGGTTCGCGGGCGGGTTCCTTCGAGTAGATGGGGTTCCGAAGAGTCATGCCGTCGGGAGTTGCCACGTGGCGCTGGTCGTCGCGTGTTCGGGTTAGGCCTTCGGAATTCCGGGGTTGTCTAACCGCCACGTCGTCGGCAATTCCCGCAGGGTGTGCTCGGCCAGTAGGGGGCTATGGCCGGCCACGGGATGACGCTGAGTTGGTGATACGGAAGGAGGAGGCGAAAGGGAGGGAAACGGGTGGTGATAACGACAAATCCGGGGTGGAGGAAGTAGTAGGTATGGTCCGGAGAGGGGAAATCAAAGCACCGGGGGTCGCTAGTGGTGGCGCAATCGAATTCCCGAGGGCACAGTCGATTCTCGGTTAGGCAAGGGTACCTATGTCGAAGGGCTTCGTTTATCCAAGAGGTGAAGTAATCCGGGCCGTATGATGAGTCGGAATTCCAGGATCGCGTCATTGTGTCATTGTGGTGTTATGAGTTGCCTAAGGGCGAGTTTGTGGCGATCGCGATGGCCGCGTGGAGCATGTGCACGTTACGTTGACCCTCGGCCGCGGCCGAGTTCGACCGTGGCCGGGGCTGGCGGCCTCGACCGGGAACCCCCCGACCGCAGCCGCTCCGGCCGCGTTTTTTCGGCCGAGGCCGCGGCCGAACAGGGAGGTGGTTTCAGGAGAGGAGAGCGGGCGCCGCACGCCCTCGAAGTGAAAGACCGACAAAAAAATAAAAAACGGGGGGGTCCTAAATAGGGGTCTAGCTGGGTGGGCCGGGAAAATTATTGCGTCCACCGGACTGCGTTTCGTTGATGCAGGTTCGTAGGGGGGAACGTAAGCAACACAGAAAAAATAAAAATAAAAAATGCGCCCTCTGCGGGTTCATTTTTTTTGGGGGTGGGGCCCGTGAAGGTATCTGGTGGGTGGGAGACCGTGGGACCGTGGGCCCGCGTTGGGGGATGGGGGTCCGCCGGTTCCATGGGTGGGTTTGTCCTTGGGTTGAGTGGGGGAGGGGGGAGGGCGGACCGTGGGGGCACTGCGTGGGTTTAAGTTCAAGTATTGAAGGCACTAACGCCTCCCTCTCCCTACGAAAGGTCCAGATCCTCTGCCCTCCGGAAGGACGCCCGCGGCCTCTCCTGGTGGACTGTCGACCACGCGCTCCTCTCAGACCCCCTCCACCACCCGTGCCCTTCGCACCGCTGATGTATGTCGCCTGTGCTACCGCGGCTGCCGCGGACATGGACGCTCTATTTCTGCGGAATGCAATGTAGATCGGCTCGGACTCTGTGTCTGCGTCCTCGTCCTCAGCCTCTGCTGCAACAATCGTCTGTCGCTGCCTCTGAATCGCATCCAATGCAGCTTGGCCGGCGGCGATCTCTACTGCAAGGTGAGCCTTAACCTCCGTGACGATGCTGTGTCGACTACTTCCACTCCACATCAGCAACCCCTCCATGCCAGATGTGTAGTGCTGACCCTGCTGCATGTCCGCAGCTGTCCCTCGGGCCGGAATCGGCGGTGGGATCAAAACTCTCCTCGTCGCTGATCGAGACAAACCGAGCATGCGGCCGACCATGTGAACACTCGGACGTTCGAAGCCACCTTCGCTGCTGGGCGCAACCTGAAACCGAGGTGACAAACGTCCTGCGAAGGCGCCCCTCCCAGCGTCGTAATCCGCCCTCATCTGGTCCAAGACCCGACGATGAGCTGCCCATCCACCGGCAACACCACCTGCAACAGGCGGCGGGGAACCGACAACGGGCGCATGGGCGGTAGTCGCGTCGGCGCCGCCCTCTGTGCTCCGTGCGGGTGGCAGAGGCATCGATCCGGCAGATCCGCCGCCGTCACTGAGGCGGCCCGAACCGCCTTCAACCGGCCTGGACTCCCTCCCTCTAATGCCGCTGAGCGAAGAACCTGACCATGTAGGGCTATCCACGATGTACGGCGGAGGCGAATACGCCCCTCCAGGAGGGCGCCTCTCGTCGCTCCTGCGGCCCGTGTGGGCAAAAGGGTCATGTGAACCGAGTCGCGCCAACTCCTCGGCATCAAAACCAGCCTGAGCGAAGGCCTCGGGCCATGTGAGAGGTGTAGGCACTGATGGGTCCCTCAAGACCAAAGCCAGCCTACCCTCATCGTCGTGGTCGCCGTCGTGGTCGCCGTCGTCGCCGTCGTTGCCGTCATCGCCGTCGTCGCCGTCGTTGTCGCCGTGGTCGTCGTCGTAGTCGTCGTGGTCGCCGTCGTTGCCACCGTTGCCGTGGTCGCCGCCGTCGTCGTCGTCGCCGTCGCCGCCGTCGTCATCGTGGTCATCTCCATGGTCGGACCCCTCCTCGTCCTCGTCCTCGTCCTCGCCGCCACCATCTCCCTCAACACCCGTGGGTACACCATCTCGCTCAACACCCGTGGGCACACCCTGTCGGGCCGCCCCCGCATCAGCCTCCCCACCAAAACCCATGTCGCCTCCGTCACCGCCGCCAACCCCCCCTGTCTCCAACTCCCTCCGTCGGCGCTGCTCCTCCATATACGCGAAACGACCATCCCATCCCGGCAAAGTCTGTAGCCGCTCCTCCTCCTCTCTGTCCAGTCGGGTATGCCGCTCCTCCTCGGTCTCTACATGGCCCCGCACATCAGAATCGTCGAGGGCCACGTCCGACAGCGAGGCACCCCTCTGTCTCGGGGCACTGAGATCCCCCAAACCCCCACCAGAGCCGCCGACGTAGAAGTCGTTGGTGCGCAGCTCGGACGGCGAGCGGTAGCGGACACCGGCTCCGGATGGAGTCCTCTCGATCTCCTGAATGTCCGCAAGCCCGGTCCCACCATGGTGCTCGGTCGCTGGTATCTGTTGTCTCTCCGCTGCAAATGCCGACCTCATCCTCGGCCTGGTAGGCTCGGGCGCTCTCGTGGTCCGATGATGAGAGGGAGAGAACCGACAATCCCGAAGACGCACCTCCTCCTCCTCCTCCCTCCCCTCCGGCTCGCTATCGCTCATGACCTCCCAACGTCTTCCCATCTGCCGAAGGCCCCTGACTGGCTCCTGCTACTCCACGTGCTCGTCGGCATGTGGTCGTCGTCGACGACGACCACTGGTTCTGCCGGTGCCACTGGCCTGACCACCGGACGGCACATCGTCAGTGATGACGGATGTGTGTGGAGTCATGTCGTCAGGTCCTCCGCCGTACGTGAAATAGACCCGCTCCGTCGTCACGTCGCCGCTGACGGGAGCGTCGTCATCGTCCGTCCACTCGTCGTCCGACGTGTCGCCGTCCGCATCAGCGTCCGACGTCTGCTCCGGCCACGGTCGTAGCTCCACCGCCCTCTTGTCGAACACGTCCTGAACCGGGTCGGCTGTGGACGGTCGACAAGCATGGAAAGCGACGACCTGGCGCTCGATGTCGTGCTCGCTGAAACTGCCAGCAGGTCGCGCTCCCCACACCTCGGGGTCCACGTCCCCCTCGTCGTCCTCCTGCCCTCCCGCGGTCTCCTCCTGACCGGTCCCCATAAACCAGGGCAACACGTAGCCACTACCCTGCTGTGCGCATCCGGCCAGTTTGAGATTGGTGGCAATCTCAACCAGCTGTGAAAGCTTGGCAAAGCCAAGCTTGTGGCGCCTCGCCGTGTTCATGCGGTCGTGCTGCGCCTAGTTCCTCTCCGCAGGAGAGGTGGACGTCCACAAGTGCATCACACGAATGGCGATGGTGTGCAACTCAGGGTGATGACATCCGTGATCAAACCACCACAGGGCACAACGCTCAGTCTCGCGGTCCCCCCGGCAGTCGTCGGCCTCGACATCGGACAGTTGCCGATCTCCCCAATCTCCCCGCCGCGAGTGGAAATGCCTGATTTGGTCACGGACTGTCCTGTACAATCTACCGACCGGATCGCCGTTAGTTTGTGCGAGCAGGAATCTGTCACACTCCTCGACCACACGGACGTCGTCGGTAGTCGTCTGCAACGACTCATAATATCGGAGGGACCGGCGACGAGGGTTGAGAAGGTGTGCCGCAGCATGTGCGGGCTCGAGCATGTGGAGGTTGTGGACGGCAACCTCGCGCACGCACGGCTCGACCATGTCCGCTGGCACATCCACCCTCCTCATCAACTCCAGAAGATGCTGACTCCACTCGTAAACGATTGACATCATCATCCCTCCTCTATCCATCCTCCTCAAGAGTTGGTGGATGGGCGACATAACGCGGATGGCACAATCAACGCATCGCCAGAACTCGCCGTCGCGGCCCACTGTGCCTGGGAGACAAGCCTGCGCTCCCACGCGATGCGAGCCCATGCGGCACCATGCAGCATTCTCTCTAACGCGTCCTGCCGGCCTGAGACACGTCAGCATCAGAAAAACTGATGCAAACCGGGTCTCAATGGGCTCAACCAGCGTGACACGAGGGCTCATCCTCCTAAAAAGGGCGAACGCAGCGCCGTGCGATTTAATAAATCGCACTAACGCTCGGGCATAGATGATGGTCTCCTTGACCCACGCCACTCGCGTCCCGATGTTTGACAACATCAAGTTGCAGATGTGGGTGGAACAGGAAGCCAAGTGATCCTCTTGATGTCTGCGTCGGGGTCGATGGCGAATCTGCGGGCCGCCGCCATATAGTTACTCGCGGAGTCCGTGCAGAAGCCGATCACATCCTTTGCAGGAAAGGACAAGATGATGGCCCTCCACCTGCGGTACACGATATCCGCTTTGTCGCGGACAGACCCGTCACGTGCGACGGTGGCGTACAGCAAGGCGCAGTTGGCGCCCCTGGCGAGGAAGTTTACGATCGGCTTGCCGCTGCGCGACTTCCTCCCGTTCGAGAGGAAAGTGGCACCGGTGTGCTGGAAAGAAGAGCGCACCTCGCTCACCATCGACGCCACCTTCCCCCTCTATGAAGGGATCCCGGTGCCCGCTGTGACCCTGTACGAGGGAAACCGGAACTGAATTGTCCGCGGTACTCTTTCTGTCGCCCGCTGAACCCTCTGGAACTCCGGACCTCGGAAGGCGTTGAATGCCAACCCCTTCGCGTAGATCCACTGCAGCCACGCGTCATGAAACTTGTCCAACTTCTCCTTGTCGTACATCTCGTCGATCGTCGTCTGTCGAGCCCTCTTCTCCCTGGTCGTCTCGCGCACCTCGCCGCCCTCCCCCACCGGCCTCTTCTCCCTCCTCGCGCGCTCCAACTCAGGTCGTGGTGCCCTAGGAGTGGGACCCGCTCGACTGACGTCTCTCGACGTAATCACCACCTTCTCCCCTGGCAGGTCAGGGTCTCCGACTGCCTCGTCAGCCTTCCCCCCCTCCCCAACCCCACCCTCGAGACCCTCCTCCTCATCGAGGGCGTCCTGAACATCGTCCCTCTCATCAGACTCTCCCTCGTCCATCCGTTGCAACGCAGCTTTCAGTCCCCATGCATCTTCACCTAGTTCCCCAAATGTTGTCCCGAGGTGACGAAGTTCCACACTATGTTCCCCTGCCTCAACTTCGCCATCTCCCTCTCAGACTGCGCGATGAACCCCCCACCCGCAGACCCCCTCGTACCGCTGGTCCCCGCACCCCTCGTCATCCTCCTCTGACTCGAAACGTCACAGTTGTCGTGTCGTCCGTCGATGTCATTCTTCCCGGCGCTTCGTCGATGAATGGCCCCAACGCCGCTGCAGCCTTTGCGGGACCAGATGTTGCAGCTCTCCTCGGGCTGGCTGGACCTGGCCGTCCTCGGGCCCCACAGGCCGGTCAAGCACCCGGCCTCAATCGACTGAGTTCAACCGCGATCGGCCGCAATCCGCCTCAAATGGCTGCACTCGGCCTCGAACGGCCGCAATCGGCCGAGACCGGCCGCGGCCGGGCACTAAAATTGCCGCGCGCGAAAAAAGGCCGTGCAGCGATGGTGCCCGCCGATGACCGCGCGCTGGGCGATGGCAGCGCAGCGGCGGCGACCGCCTGTGATCATGCGCCGCGGGCCCGCGCAAAGAATAATAATAATAAGAAGAAGAAGAAGAAGAAGAATAGGGAGAAGATTTCTCTCTCTCTCTCTCTCTCTCTCTCTCTCTCGCGCGCGCGCGACCAAGTTGTCTCTCTCTCTCTCTCTCTCTCTCTCTCTCTCTCTCTCTCTCTCTCTTTGAGCGTGCGAGCAGGCAGGGCGGCAGCCTAACGGCAACAGCAACAACTGTTGCCGTTTCAGATAAATGGCAGTATTTATCTCAAACGGCAACAGATTTGCCGTGGCCCGGGCCTGGACCCACCGCCCCCCCCATACCCAGTCCCCACACAGTGCCCCCACCC